TTGTGTAGGATTGATTTCTTAAAGAATTAGAACATTTAAATAGAGTATCATTGTTTACAGAATTTTATAATGAATCTAAAATTAAAAGAAGATACGGTGTTCCATTTAAAATATAAAAGATTTTTATGTTTAAAATATTCTATTTTGAAACATAATTTCCAAACACCCCGTATAACAAACGATGTATAAATAAATGTTTTAAAAATAATATATACAACTACTACTGCTAAAATTTCAAGTATCTAATAGAAATAGTACCTAAAATAGATGACTTTAAGAAAATGTCTACCGGCGATAGAAAATTTAAAACAATTGAATAACACTTAATCCGCTAGCATTAGAATGGGCAAATGGGGTATCATTGTTTACAGAATTTTCTGCTGAACCTAAAATTATAAAAATATACAGGGTATTCTATTTTAAATAACGAAGTTAGCTGTCACTTTCTGTATAACCAGAAGTAACAGAGATAATTTTTTTTTTAGTTTTAAGGGAGCATATTCGATTATGTATACTCAAAAATTGGTGGAAATAAAAATTAATGTATTTTCCATAAAGTTACAATGCCCGTTTTACGTGGGACACAGTGTTTACCAAAAAAGTTGGCTATGTAAATGTTACTTACAGTTTTGTTAAAATAGTATATTGTTATAATTATAAGAAAGAGTTTCAAAATAAGTAGCTCTAAAAATTATAGAACAGTGATGCAAGGACCATTCACTGTCTATCAGTCCTAAGAAGATAGAAATGATCCTTTTTACAAGAAAAAGGATTAAAATGGAATTAAAACCTTTAGAACTTCTAACCATAAAACTAAACTTTGCAACAGAAGTGAAATACCTAGGTCTCACCATTGACAGCAAGTTAATATGGAACTCGCATTTATAAAACATAGTCAAAAGAGCATACATTGCTTATGAACAATGCCGCCGAACCGTGGGGTGCACCTGGGGTTTCTCCTCCATAGTCGTCATATGGCCTTACACGGCTATCATAAGATCTATGCTAACATACGGTGCACTTGTCTGGGTACCGAAAATCCAAAATTAACAGCTATCCGTAAACTAGAACAAATTCAAAGAACAGCATGTCTCAACATAACAAGAGCCTTGAATACAACACCGACCAGAGCTATGGAAGTCATTCTTAGTCTCACTCCCCTTGATACATCAGGGAGGTGTACTTTGACGACAATGATACGTCTCCGCACGGTTGAAATAGAACCTGATGTAGGATCTAAATAGGCGAAACGTCGCTTTTGGCAGGAGGTGCTTGATACGCTCCCACTACTTCAAGCGACCATTGAGTCCATCTCACCAAGATATATCTTCCAGGAGCCATATAAATTTATAACAACAAGAAGAAGAGTCGAAAGTGACTCATATCTACACTGACGGTTCTAAAACAAAACAAGGCTCAGGATGTGGAATATATTCCAGATTCTTAAACCTAAACATAAAATGGACTGAGAGCAAGAGTGCCAGTGTAGTTCAAACAGAGCTAACGGGGATTCTCATAGCAACAAAAGAAATCACCAGAAACAATATTACTGGAAGGAACATGCTCATCTATACAGATAGCAGACAAGCACTACTCACCATGAACAGACCACGAATTTACTTAGGGTTAGTACTAAAATGTCACGAAGCATTGGCCGAAGTATCCATCAACAATGTGGTAACCTTAAAATGGATCAAAGGTCACGTTACATCGAAAGATAACCATCTTTTTGATTCACCAGCCAAGAAAGCAGCCAACCAAATAGTTTTTAGACCTGGCCCTTCTATTGGCCTGACAAAATCGGTAGTGACATAACTAATTAAAAAACATTTTCTTGTGAAATTCAGGGCGAAAGATGCAGAGTTGCCAGAGAACTCTTAAGTTATTCTGATAACACTGCAGCAAATAAATACTTGACTATGATTAGACAGAATCTACGCCTAGTCACAGGCGTTCTGACTGGTCATTGCCAAGTACGGAAGCATCACCATATTATGGGGCTGTCAGAATCCGCACTCTGCAGAGGGTACGAACAAGAAGATGCGACCATCAAGCATATCCTTTACGTTTGCTCTGCGTTCTCATTTATTAGAAGATATGTGTTCGGCGAGTATCGGACGATATAAGAGAAGCATCTCTTGTCGACGTTGTCAACTACATTAAATCTGTAGGCTGGCTCACGAGCTAGAAGGTGCTAGAAGGGTGCACAATGGGCCTAGTGGGGTCAGAGTGATGTGGGAGTAACCCACCCTCAACACGTTACAGATACTGATACCACCTGAAAAAATTTGTTAATAAAACAAATTTAGAATGTTAATTGTAACAAAAGAAGTTGTGTGAACAACAAAAGAAGTTGTGTGAACAACAAAATAATTTATTGTAGCATCAACTGATTTACATATTTTGACATTGCCAATGCGCGTAATTTTTTTCTTTAACGTTAATCTATGCTATAGTGCTGTTTGTGTCGTTTGAATCGGAACAATAGTAACGGATATATACGTTAATGCCCTTTTAACTTTGCTACTGCGCATGATTTTTCTTTTCAATATTTATCTTCTTCTTTTTCTTCTTTTTCTTCTTCTTATTTTAGTTTAATGACCTCCACTATAACGGTATTTAGTCAGCGCAGGTGAATTAGCTTATATAGAAAGAATGCTTGTCTTGCTCCAGGCAATAAAGTACTCTTAAAACTTGATAAAATCAAAATGTTAATACATTAACCATCACACCATGTGATAATTTATACTCATTAAATTCAAAAATATTATTGCACTATTCTTAATATCAAATAACTAATCATATTAAGACAAAATTCACTCTTCGATGGCCATTCTTATTAAAGATTTTTACAAAAACACATACACACGTGAATCCGAAGTCTTTCAACGTTTATCTATATGTAGTTTCAAACTACCCCCCACTCCCCGTTTTTTCAGTCGAATCGGTCCAATAACAATGAAGATAATATAGATTTAGATCCTTTTAGCATTGCCACTGCGCATGATTCTTTAATCTACGTCACGTTTTCTTCATTGTGCCATTTGTCCTGTTTGAATCGTACTAGCAGCACGGGATTATTTACAGTAACGTTTTTCCACATGTTATTTTCCCCACTCTCCCGTTTTTCTTGTTCGAATGAGACTAATAGTAATGGATACATAGACTTAGGGCCTTTTGACTTTGATTTTTTCTTTAACTTTAATCTATATACTTATTGATGTAAACGATGGTCGCCATCTTAGAACGTTTAGCCGAGTCACAAGACTCAACAGTGACAGATGGCGTCATCTAGCGATTACTTTTAGAAATGTGAACCATGAACGGTTTTGGGTACTACTAATATTAAATATTTTTGTCCAACTCATGACAGTTATGACTGTCATTATTAATGTCATTTTAGACAAGTAAACTATTAAATAACACACTAGTGGATTATAACGTTCATATTTAAAGTAGTATTATATAATATCAGTAGCACTCTAACGCGCTCATATTCATTTATAGTTTATGATCCGAGACTGCCGGGCTTCGAATACCAGACCAGACCATGTGGATTTTTAATTAAATTGCATGGTTCGGTATAGGATTTGATGTGTGCCGTATTAATAGAAATTCAATTTCTGTTGAAATGACATGCATATTATAAAATCGCCATGCATTACCGTCTCGATGATGGTTGCTGAGGTTTTCCGGGTTTTTTTCTCACCTGTAAGTCAAAAGGCACTTTCAATCATCTTTAAGTCGCCCTGGAGCGCCACGGCAAATAATAATAATAGCCGTCCCTTTCCCCGGACAAGCTCAGCTTTTGGAGTTAAAATTCACTCGTAAGGGGGTGAATTAGGGAGAGTATTATTTTTATTTATTTATTACTATTACAAGCACAATTCACATTGATATTGAAATTAAAGGAAAACGCTAACGGTGTATTGGAATTTGAAGTCATTGTAAAATTCGTTGGTTCATTGGAACCAGACGTTTCCATATCGGTACAGCTGCTGATAGTGCTGGAAGACGCCGACACATTAGAACCTTGTATTTTGTTTTGCACCGATTCTTCTAGGTATCCTTCTGCTACCGTCGAGGACTTCCATCCTCCGTGACGCTTCAAAGTAGTCATGTTAGGGTACTGAGACGCAAGTAGTTTTGATTTGATCACAAAACTTATTATTATCTCACAAAAAACGATTTCTTCCACTTGTTTGTTGGATAAAACATTGTATACCACTAGTGTGTTATGTTTCGTAAGTGACTTGAGAATTCTTTCTCGAGTGACTTATTTTCAGCATAACACACTAGTACCATAAATAACTATTATGTTATAAAATAATATTTATAAAATCGTTTTTGCGTATGATTCTTTTTTTTAATTTTATAATTTTTTTAATCCTACCTGTTTCACATTTTTTTGTCGTTACCTACTGCTTTTGCATAATCTTTTAAAAAGTACTTTAATAAGATAGCGGTTTGAACAAATATTGGGAAGAATACGTTATAAAACATAAATATTGAGATAAAAATATCAAATTGAATTAACAAATTTATTATACTTTTGAATTCAGTCAAATATAAATAGTGATAGTTTGTAACGTTTTTATAAATATATTAAGTAAATCGAAAAATCGAAATTTAATAAATTATCTATTCTTCGTGAAACAAGTTCAGACCAAATAATTAGGTAGTAATGACTTTGTGTTATGAGATAAGGATACAGATGAAAACCGTAGAAGGTAATCCCGGAAATGACATTCAACATTCTACAGCACCTACACCAGATTAAACTTTACCATCACAGGCACTACAAATTTGTTTAAAAAAAAATAATATAACAGAATATTTAAATATTAATTTTCTTTGAAGCACATTTTTCTTGCAATGTTTCTTATTTTTTTATATTTAATAGACCTATTAATTAGTCAGTCAAGTATTCTTACACTTAAAATAACAACATGGCACTAGTATGTGAAATATCTCTATAAAAAAAAAGGTTTGGTACTTACTAAAAAATAAGTTAGTTTTTCAAAACTGCTTATAGTAATAACTACAGGTAAAAAATATGTGACAGACAATACTAAAATTTTATCTAAATACAAAATCAATGATAAGACCAGTATGGTTTACAATGAAGACTATAAAACTTAAGTTTTATTAATACCAGTGTAAATATATTATTAAGTAATTTTATTTCATCTTATCTGATCATTTACCAAAATATGTATTAATTTGAAATTTTCTTACGTTAGGAATATCCATGCTAAAATATATTGAGAATCGTTTTCTGAAGATGGTGTTTACACTTATAAAAATATGGAGTTGCCAATTCAAAGTACCACTACCGGGATTTTTGGATCTAGACTTTAATATCTTATCGAGACTTCATATTTTTAATTAATTATTACTTAAAATCAAACTTCTTGGAAAATAAATTAAATAATTTCTCTAATTAAAATTGGTATATATGATAATATCATGAACATACGACTATCAAAATACTGAATAAGTAGCATCAAAAGGATGATTATAGATTATCTGATAAGAGTAATATAGATAATATATCTTCTCTCATTATAAAAAAAAATTATACAGTAATTGTGAACCATTGGCGTTCCAAGACAGGGGCAAAAAGAATCCTACTTCTCGCCAGGTCAGGTGTATATTATATTACGGTATTAATATACCTACTACGACCTAGGGATGCCAACTGTATGGTTTTTGCCCAGACTGTCCGGTTTTTAAAAGGTTTGACCGGTGTCCAATAGCATGATGATAATGTCCATGAATATCTGAATAAATTTATAATTTTACTATAATATACATATAAAATGAGCATGATTCAGATATCGCAACTAATAATTTTATATCAATACACACTAAAATCACTCCTTGGACGACTAACGCGTTGCTTAAATCTATTAATACAAAAAATAAAATGTTTAAAAATGTAAATAAAAATACTAATAATTTACATCTTAGAACACAATACAAAACTTACAAAAATAAACTTAGTTCTTTAATAACAGCAAAATATAATTTTTATGCAAAACAAATGGAAAACAATATTCTTAATCCAAAAAACTTGTAGAATGAAGATTTAGGTAAATCCAATAAAATAAAACATTCAGTAGATGCTATACAAGACAAAACAGGTCAATTAATTACAGATAAAAATAATGGAGTAATTTTAATAAAGTATTTGCAAATATAGGGTAGACACTAGCAAACCATATAAAAAAAAATGTCAACTATTCACCAGAACAACTACTTGCAACTCATTTTTTCTAGCACCGCTAGATACTAAGGAAATATGTAATATAATAAACGATATGAAAAATAAAAAATAAAACAATTGGTATAGACAACATTAAGGCAGAAACCATTAAAACAGATGCAAATTTAATCGTTGAACCATTAAAATTTTTAATAAATAGTTGTTTTGATTCTGGTATTAGGCCTTCCGCTTTTAAAAAATCAGTTATAGTTCCTTTATTCAAAAAAGGAAGCGGAACAACTATCACGAACTATCGCCCAATATCTTTACTAACCCACTTATCTAAAATATTTGAAAAAGCACTTAAAAAACGACTTGTTTGCTATTTAGATAAATACAAACTAATTTCCGATAAACAATTTGGCTTCCGGGAAAATACATCAATTTAGGCTGCAATTTTAGCCCTAACTTCAAATAGAACATATAAGTATATACTCAAATGTACCAAGTTCGAGCAAGGGTTCTCTTGTCTTTAAATCACATTATTTTATAATTTTTTTCTAGTAAATAGTTATTGTTTTCCCTTGCCTTTGACAAATTGTACTCTATATCAAGTTTAAACAAGGTCTTTATTCAATATTAAGAGTCAAAATTATGTTTTTGGCCTTCTGAATTAAAATTCCGACTCGTAACTCTATATTCCGAGTTGTATGTCGGAATTCTGAGTTGTATGTTAGAATTCCGAGATACAAGTTGGAATTTGTAAAAAAAATGTGTGTCTCTTCTACGTTTTCGTACCCTTCCAATTCTATCTTCTCATGGAAATTTAGAATTTTGAGTGGCTCCAAATTAGGTAGATGATAGGTTTAGTGATGTAGGTGGCAGATTGGTTGCCTAATATGTTTCACCGTTTCATTTATTAAAAAAAATATATTTCAAGCAGTAAGTAAAACTGATTCTCTGATTGTAGTATATTGCGAGGAGCGGGGACTAAAACAATTAAGGGTAAAACTTATTTCATTTTAATCTGGAGGAAAATAATTAACTTTATTGTCCAACATTACCTATAAATCTCGGAAATGCCTTTAACCTCAATACGTCCTTTATCGAGACTTACATATTAGCTCGATGTTCATTAATTTAAGAATACCTGATAATTTTCAAAGTTCTCTACACGCTACTCCTGGTCGTGGAGTATAGAGAGACACTACGTAGGTATGTACATAATAATTACCTTTTTTTTTTAACAAAATTGGTATTTCCACAGAAAAATCAGTATTTGTCGTTGTCCAGGCTTTCAATAAGCTTTCTTTTCTTTTATATCCTTATGGGACCTTTAATTAAGAATTGTAGGTCACAAAAGGTCGTATACTTCTTTCTTGAATGAAGAAAGATATGTTAAATTTATTTAACTGTGATAAATAGTATTTTACATAATATAGGTACTTTAAAAAATAAAAAATATTGATGATAATATTTATGTTCATGTATTATTCACATTTAACCATCCTAGAGACAACACAGAGATATATTATCAAAATCTTGTTCAAAAAACCACGATTATTTCCCACTGAACTCCTATATGAAAAAGTAAATCTGTACAATGTTGGACAAATATTTTACTCAAAATCATTAATGGGACAACATATTAAAAAGGAGTTAATGGATCATATTTATAACACGTGATACAAAAATCAATTAAATTATATACCTTTTCCTCATAAAAATATATTACAAAATTCTATAATTTAATCCCAAACGAATTCAAAAAAATAAATTCTAAAAACTTATTAAAAAAAAAAATAAAAAGGCTTAATTAACATTCCAAGACATCAAATTCACACTTACGTAAGAACTTAAAACATATTTGTAGTTACAATTTCCTTTATTTGTGCAACTGCTTTAATATTTTTGGTATTCTTTATTTTATTTCAATTTAATTTATATGAAAAATTACCATAGTTTGTATCTGATATTATGCACTTTATAAATATAGTTATAAATATTATACATAATTATTACATATTTTTTTATATTGTCAATTTATTAAAATTTGTTTATACCCATACACAAGCTTGACCTTCTCTGGGTTTCACATATTTATTAATCATTATATGTATCAATAATTATTGTATGTTGATGTAAACTTTCAGATTAATAAATATTATTATTATTCTACTAAAATATAATTTTTACCTCCCCCATTTCTTTTGGATAATCATAATAGTAAACGAATATTTTAAAATTCCATAGTTAAATCTCTCCAACTACTCGATCCTGACCCAAAAAAAAAATCTCCCCATCAGTAGCGTCCCCAAGGAATTCGCCTCCTACTCAATTGCATATCTATATCCGGGAATAATAACATTGGCAACAAAAAATATTTAATTATCATTGACACAATAACTATTTCCCACCTCTACAAGTTCGTTGGCACTCCCGCCTTTTAGCATCGAAATTGAAAGAGCGCCAGTTTCACTAAATACGTCGCGACGCTACGTCTAGCTCGGCGTCGGATTTGTGATGATGCGGCGTCGTTTAAACACCAACGCGTACCTAGCAACCGTGGAAAATACAAAACTTTTTTAAATTTCGAAATTTGCTTCGGCATCATTTTTCAGGTTTGTACTTAGAATTATTTATTTTTTAAGAAATGTTTTATATTTAAAAAATTTTGTATTTGATGAAAATGTTTTCTAATTTTCAATGTAACATCAAAAATAATATGAATAATTTAGGTTAGAATTAGTATATTGCCCTTTAATACTTCTTTTTTCAAACATAACAAGTATGAATCATTCAAGTGCCTCTTTAAGCAAGCTTTTGAAAAATTATCAGATAAAGACAATATAAAAATATTATGCATATGTCGTTTACTTTCTTTTTAAAATCGGGGTTGGCTGTGAAACTCAAACGCCGCTCACTCTGCATATTAATTAAACCATGTATTAGATTAACCCTCGAAAAAAATCATTTAATTACTTTTATCGGTTACAAAGCTGGTATGACCCAAGTTGTAAGAGAAGCAGATATATCGTTATCATTTTAGAAGTTCCTCCAATGGTTGTAGTAGGTGAAGTCGCTTGTATTGAAACCAGTGGCGACTCTTGGTAATTTAAAAAGGGTGTTCACTTTTTCCAATAATTTCATCGTTTGTAATTTCGGTTCAAAAGTTTGTACGAGTGCCAATATTGCTGTTTTTTTTTTTAATTTGTGTTTAGTGTAGTTATTATTATCAATATCATATTATTTGCAAACACTACAAGTATTAATGATAGTTATTGTAATATCTATTTTGTTTTTAATACATTGAAAAACATTTATAAACATTATTAGTTATAGTCTGCTGTCTTTTTCTCATATTTTGAGATGATTTTTAAATATACAGGGTGTTCCGAAATTAGACGGTCATATTTTAACAGCGTAATCTACATCCAAAAATAGGAATTAAAGTTTATATAAACATAGGTCTGAAAACGTTTCGTTTTCGAGATACAGGGTGTAACAAATGAAGTTCTGATGGCACATTTTTGTAAATATTTTTTTAAATTTCTTTGTCACCGGTTTTCCAAAGTTAAAAAAAAATAAAATGTCTGATTTCACAGGCCTAATAATTATTGTTTACACTTTATATACTTTACTATTAAAAATGGTGCGTCCTAGCGAGATGCAACAAAAGTAGCTTTATTATAAAGAAACTATTGATTTTCCAAATTGTATAGTCAAAAATGTTAAAAACTGTCAACAAAAAAAACGTGGGGCAATTTTACCCTAAGTCCCCCCTAATTTACCCACCTATGAAAATAATCAAAAACTGGGGTTTAGTCCATTAAATAGAGCGTAGAAAGGTAAGGATTCTTACCAAATTTCACTTAGTCATCTTTAATCGTTTAGAAAATATTTACAAAAGTGTGTCGTCAGGACTTCACATTTAACACCCTGTATCTCGGAAAATAAACATTTTCGGACCTATGTTTATATGAACTTTTACTCCTATTTTAGGATGTAGATTATGCTGTTAAAACACGACCGTCTAATTTCGGGACACCCTGTATATCAGGTTATGTAGGAAGCTTGACATTAATTTTTGTGTGAAAAATATTATATGAATCGTTACCTACCGTTTTTCAGTTTTAATCGTAAATTTAATCATGTCAAATAAAATATTAAATTTTTTAAATCCCTTGTATTGACAAATAAATAATGTGAACTAAAATGTTTATTTTATAAGATCAGTCCCAACATAATACATAACATTACCTAGATACAATATTTACAATTTTGTAGGAAAGAATATACACTATTTTCCTTATTTAATTATTGTTGTACACTAAAAATTATGAAAAATAGTAATGTTCTCACTTTGTTTTGATGAAATATGTGGGTGGTTATTATTATAAGTATGTGGTATAGTATTTTTCTTCTTATTTTTACTTTTTATTTCGTTTGTTACATAGAGTATAATTAGTAGACATTAATAAATCACCATTATTTAAAAAAATATACAGGCGTATTTTTTACTCGATAAAGATAAAATTAACTGAATTTTTCTTACAATTCGCAGTTATTATTTATTTTCATTTGAGGTAGTTCACCTTCTACCGACATCTGGTGGAATTTTTATATACTATGCAGTTTTTTATGCAGACTAACAGTATGCTGACTTTCGATTCACAAATTTCCTTCGAACTGTGCAATGACATAATGCGGGACGGACTTAAAAAGTTATTTTGATGTTTTTTAACAGACAAGTGTAAAATAATTTAGTAATTTATTTATTTATTTGTATCAGTAGTGTAACTTTATTTTGCTGAACATAACAAAGAAGAACTGAATTAATGTTAAAAATGATGGAATGTATTGTGGCGACTTGTAAAAGATTTTTACAAAATTTTTAAGAAAATTATGAGGCACTTCTATTTGACAAAAGCCATTTTGCTGAGCCTGTATTTTAAGAAAAATAAACACTTTCTGATGAAATTGTCAATATTATGGACAAATTTGAAGTATATGAGAAAGTATATTAAAAACAAATATCCAACTTTGGTTGCACACACTTTCGGACGGTTCATTTATTAACCCTGTACAAGAAATATGGAAAAATGGAAACTGAATTCCACCAGATGCATGGGACATTTTAGAAATTTTAGCAGATAAAACTGTAGCTTCATGTTCTTTTTGAAGTAATCCTATAAATGAATTGGATACGAATATAATTGATTATTCTCCGTATTATCATCATTGTTCTATTTTTACGCTAAAATGGTATATTTCAATTTACCAATTTTAAATAGTTATTTTCCTAACAAGTGCTGAAAGTGTTACTTTCCCGCACGCGAAGCGGAGTTCGGGCAAGCGGTCAAGTGCGGGAAAGACACTTTACGCATGAGTTAGGAACATTATTTTTTCTACGACCGTATATACAAAAAAAGTAGGATTATTATTTTTGGAAAATTATTTTATTTCAACATATACAAATCTTTAAATAAAAACAACTAATTATTATGGATATTAATGTTAAATAGACAATTTGTAGCATTTTGTAAATTATGTAAAATTGCCGGTACAGAGGAATTAGTTGGTGTTAATTGGCTTCAACAAACAACTTTGGCGTTTTTGTAACAATAACACGCCTTGGTTACCATATAGCAACCATATCAAGCCATACATGTCACAGCCTAGTCTGACTTAAAAATATACAGAAGGTATATAAAAATATTTCTATTATTCAAGTTTTCCAAAAAATTAAAATTATAACAAAAAGCAAGAAACAAAGTAAATTTTATTAAATGGAATAGTTGGAAAATACTAAATTACCTATTGTTACAATAGTTATAACATCCGAGGTAAAAAAACTATACAATAGGTAAGGCCAAATATTCATAATTTTACTTTCCCGCACTAGTGCGGGAAAGTGATTTTTTCCCGCACTAGTGCGGGAAAGTGACACTTTCAAAACTAAAATGCGTGCGGGAAAGTGGGTAAAAATACACGGTCGTAGAAAAAAGTAATTTTTCTTATGGTTACACTTTTGTGAATAAATTTTTTTTGTACACATGTACCTATTTCATTTTACATAATAAGAGAAGAAAGATGGTAGAAGTAATTTAGTAAATATTTGTCTTCTATCTTCTGTATTCACGTTTTGTACTTATCTTATGACTAGGGCAGTCATTTTGTTACAAAATACCTATAATTTATAGGATTATTCACCTGAAACCTTCATATTTGTACACAAATATATTAACAAAATAAACAAGAAAGCTTAAGTAACTAAATAAGACCTGAAAAAGCAAAATATCGAATTTGAAACACTATTTCCTAGGTGACATCACCATCAGTCAGCTGCATTCGAAAGAACATACTGTGAGTATAATAATAATATAACCAAGGCTAAAATAATACCATAATAGATTAAAAAATAGGTACAAAACAAGATAAATTCAACGTTTTGAAAATTATTTAATGGGTAATCAGTGTCTAGGAAGTAAACTAGAGTCATTTAGTCAACTTTTTAGTAGAGCAGACTGAATGTTGTTTGGACACTTTCGTGTCCAATATTTACATATATCAATTAGATTTCGACAAGAAATGCGGTTAGACCCAATTATTGTCACAATATGTATTGTTTACTAACAATCTATTTTTTAATACACAGGACTTGTTAGTTTTAGTAACATATTTCTATGTTCTGATAACAATTTTTGTATGACATAGTGTCATATACCTCCATCATGCCTCTATAAATAGTACGACATAGTTCAGTTTACATCCCAGGTACTGATATTTAATTAAGTCTTCATGATATAGGTACATACCTAACATAGACACAACTATTTAGTTTCTTAAATTAATTTAGCCAAGTGCAATATTTATTTTTTATATCGTCTTAAAAAAAAACTATAATATAAGTTTAGCTTCCATTTTTTTGTAAATAAATGCGACACCATCAGTTGAGTTAAATCCTCACCAGTACATTTAGTCTGACACTGTTTATCAGTACCTCCAGAATTTATAGATAGGACAAATTTTTATAACATCAAATTCATTAGGGACAACCTGTAAAATAAAACAATTATTCATACAAAATTGTAAACATTGTAAAAATAAACATTTATTTACATTTTTTTTTAAATATTCTTCTCCACAGTCAATGCTCTTTTGCATCAACGAAAACCATTTTCAAAAACATTTATATTTAAAAAGATAAAAGTCAGGGATAACGTTTGAATTAAAATTTGAGAAGTATTACATTTTTTAAAATCCTTTCAATGTGCCTGACTAAATACATTTCATGAAAAGCATACTATTCTTCCAAAATCATTGACAATTTCTATTCTTCTTGTTTTTCGCTTCTAACTTCTAACCTCTAGCTTGTAGCTGCTAGCTTCTAGCTTCTAGCTTCTATATTCTAGCTTCTATCTTCTAGTTTCTAGCTTCTAAATGCTAGATTCTAGCTTCTAGCTTATAGCTTATAGCTTCTAGCTTCTAGCTTCTAGCTTATAGCTTCTAGCTTCTGTCTTTTAGTTTCTAGCTTCTGTCTTCTAGTTTCTAGCTTCTAACTTCTTGTTCGTGAAGATTAATATGCTTGTTCCACTTGAGTTCAGTGGATGTTCAACGAAACCTAGTTTTTCTTTGTAATATTTAAATATGGTTAGTATGACATTTGTCACAGTCAAAACCAGGTTCAGATAAACCTCCCCTTTACAGGAATGATGCAACTGGGTTTTAGTATTTCAAAAAATAAAATCAAGAGCTTTTTTTATTTGTATAGGAAAAATTTGCTAACTGTATCGAAATTTGGTCGATTTTTCCTGTTTCAAATATTTTGCTTGAATGTAAAGGTCCTTATGATTGTATTTTTTATGATTTTATTACCTAAAACCAAAAATGTATGTTACATACCATATTTTAATGTTAATTTTTGTTTTTTCTTTATAGTAATGAATGTCACAAAAATGTAAATAAGAGACTAGCAAAAACTTGCAAGTTATCCTAATATAAAACAACTGAATTTTAATTATTTATGGGAATACCTTAATACTTCAAAAATTCAGTATACTCATAAATATAAGACCTTGATTTTTATCGGGTCACAGTACTGTTACGCGCAGTTTTTTCAGATTCAAGGAACAATTTATTATTATTTCTGGACTCATACGTATAATATGTATACATTTATAATTAGTTAGCAACAGTTGGTTGTGCCAAAAAAGAATTAAATATGTAAAAATAGAGGACAAGTTGAAATAAATTAATTAGGTATATAGATCTGTTAAATAATTGGAGGAGCCTGAAAAATTGGTAAAAAATCAACTAGCGTACTAAAGCATCTTCTTTATCTTTTATCTTTACACGCCACGATATCACGAATTTTTGCAACAATTTTTATGAAAAATTTCAGTAAATAATACAAAAAAAGTGACTGAAAAAACTTATACATGTACAGAAATAAAATTAATGTTTTAAAAATAATTTAACGTTTTTTCTGATTTCCGCGCCAGTCTAGTCAGATTTTAGTTTCGCGTCACGCTACTCCTCTCTTATTGCGTAGGCATCTACGTATTTTTTGGTATACAGGGTCTGACAAACCTTTAGCGGAACTAAGTAGAAGTGGACTTCGGTGCAAAATTAACTTGTGGGCTTACAGTGAATAGGTAGCCATAGACAAATAAAATATTTAAGCCATTGTGTCCAAATCTTATTTAAAAAGATCAATTGTCCTGCAGGTCAGTTTGCATGTCGATAAATGGCCCTTTCAGTTAATTATTGTCCTATCGGTCAATTGTACTCTCGATCAATTGTCATGTCTGTCAATTGGTGGCAGCCAATTATACTGATACCAAACCTACATGCTTGTTCTTTAATAAACGAATGCTTGTATTACTTTTAGGGTCATATTCAAGACTAGTAAAACGAAAAATGAATTGGAGTACAAAAAATACCGTTTCAAAACTACAATTTTTTTATTACAATGTGCAATAATAATGAAAGCATTTCCATCGAGGCCCAAGGCTGTGTTACCTTTATATTCTGAAGAATATTTGAAAACTAATAATAACACCTTCACTGGAACAAATATAGGTAAGAGATAGTTTAATATACTTTATTTGTAAGAAATAACATGTCGTTGTATGATTTTTGAAAGGTTAAATTAAAGATCCTTAATAAACAAACTGGATTAAATGTAAGAATAAAATCTCATAATCAATTCAACATAATTGTTTTTTATTGTTACATTAAATACAGTTGCTAATGGTTTCGGCTTCACAGAGACATCTTCAGGCTTTTAAATACGTTGTTAACAATTTGTATGTAATAAGTAACGTTGATTCTTAAAACGTTATTGTAGTGTATGTTAAAGAAAATAATGTGGAAATAGTTTGGTGAAAGGTTTTTATTAACGAATAACTATTTGAACAAACATGGGTTATAAGCCCATATGAGCTTTGGTGTTTGGTGAAGCAATATAAAGAAAAATAAAAACTAAGGTTACGAGAAGGTGTGGCACGTCTGGAGAAGTATAATAAAAGCAATAACGATGGCTGAAGGTAATGAAAATAAAAATGGAATAATCCCATTCTTGGAAAGCAATTTTGATAATTGGAAATTCCGAGTTAAGCCAGTATTAAAAGCACTTGAAGTCCAAAACGTTTTAGAAGAGATACTGGAAGCAAGTAAAGATGAAAAATGGATAATAAAGCAAGAAATATAATAGTACAGAATGTATCAGATTTGCAACTGGAGTATGTGAAAAATATAGAAAACGAAAGAGAAATGTTCATAAAATTTGCAAAGAAGGAAATTTCGTCAAACTTTTATTTATTGAAAGACCTAATGAATTTAACATATAACTGTATCGATGATCTTCAACAGTGTATAGTTAAAAAATATTAGGAGAGAAAGTTAAAAAGTAGAAAAATACATAAACTTGCAAGAAACATTGTTTGTGATTTAAAAAAGATCTGGGAAGACGGACCAAGTTAAAGATTTGGTTCAATTTTCAAATAATATATTATGTGGGATGACCAAAAACCAAAGGATAATCAAAACCAGAAAGTTATGAAGCTTTGGATCTTTAGGTTTGGGATATGATGAAAAAGATAGCACATCGTTACGTTGGAGGAGGGATGAACGAAAATTTGAAGTAGAATAAACTCGTCAAGAAACCAAAAAATAGGTTTTGGGAATGGATTTAAAATCCATGAGAGCAAACTCTGACAGTTAACATGATAAGATGGTAAATGCAGCGACAAGATCACACCTTCGGTCCCGATTTGCGAGTGCATAACTGTTTGTGGCTGAAGACCAAAAACTCTTTCAAACACAAGCTTTGAGTATGTATCTGCCCTTTTTAGCTCACTGAAAAAAAAAAGTATAAAAATTTAAACAATACATTAACCCATTCGCCACACAAGCTAAATACCTCGGAGTCATATTTGACCAGAGGCTGACGTGGAATCAACATTTCAAAAAACTCACATACAAAGCTACAATAGCTCTCGTAAGCTGTAGAAGAATATGTTGGAAAAACTGGGGTATAAACCCCAAACTGACCATATGGTTATACACAAGGGTGATAAGGCCCATGATAACCTATGGCGCAGTGGCGTGGGTAACCAAAACTGCGCAGGAAAGTGCAATTAGCCAACTCAATGGCATTCAGTGGCTCGCCTGTCTAAGTGCTACTGGTGCCATGCGCAATACGCCAACTGCAGCAATAGAGGTATAATTAAATCTCACGCCACTGCACATCTTCATACAAGGAGAAACCAGGTCAGCTATTCACAGGCTAATGCAGGAACAAAACCAAAGAAGCCAACTAAATAGCGCCGACTGCACAAGGCTATATCAGCAAGTAAAAACGGATAATATTCTAGTTATGCCTACTGATAGAGCCATAACCACATACAAATTTGAAAGAAATTTTCAAATTCAATTACTAGCCCGAGAATCCTGGAAACAGGGACCTCCCGTACAGGCTCAACTTGTCTAATACGCAGACGGTTCAAAACCAAGGAAGGAGCCGGTGCTGGAATCTATGGACCCAAGTCGACGATTTCGCTAAGTTTAGAAAAATATGCAAAAATGTTGCAGGCTGAACTAATAGCCATATATTACTGCGCAAGAGAAATATTAAATCAGCAAGTATCAGGCAAAACTATTGCCATATACTCTGATAGCCAAGCAGCTCTAAAGGCAATTCTCTCACCAGAAATCAAATCACAACTAGTGAAAGACTATCTAGAAGACCTGGCAGAGCTAAGTAGTCAAAACAAGGTGACCCTAATCTGAGTGCCAGGTCATGAGGGATATCAGAGTAACGAAAAGGCCGACGAATTAGCCCGAGAAGGCTCAGATAAGGCCATGACAGGCCCCGAACCCTTCTGTGAAGTTGCTAAGGCATTGTGCAATGCATCCATTAAACAGTGGATGCAAAAAAGAGTCTTAGGAATGGTGGAACAACTATGCAAGACTGAGACAGACTAAACAGTTTATCAAGGAACCGTCGGCCAAGTTCACAAAAGACCTACTGGATCAAAAGCTTCAAATCGTTAGGCCTTCTTATTGGACACTATCGCCTCAAAAAGCACACGAGTGTCATCAATCCAGTAGAAGAAGCAACTTTGTACAGGTTCTATGAATAAGAAGAGGAAACATCATTCCACGTCCTGTGCCAATGCGTAGGCCTGGCTGGAATGAGGTTTCTAATATTGGACAAAGAAAAGCCAAACGCATGCAACTACATGTGGGAGCCACTGTCAAAACTACTCTAAGTCTAATAAAAAGACCAAGATAGACGATCTATTCTAAGACAAATGGAGTCTCCCAATAGATCTGAAAAGGTCGCGGTGGACAAGGACAAAAAAAGTCCAACTCCCAATCTAATCTAACCCAAAGAACTTTCGAAATAAAGATAATGCGCCTAATTATATTTACACTTGAAAGAAGTAATGAGATGCTTTCGTAAATCGGCTGGCTGCCTGCCGTAATTAGGCAATCCAATGTCCTGTTAGAATGGATAAAAATGGCCGATGTTTGGCGAAAACAAGAAAGTTTGTTAACTTGACTGTTATTGTAAATCATACAATTATTATTCATATATATTCTTAATAAATATTAAATTATGCCATTTTTCAAGTAAATACACCGAAAAAACTCTAAACATCCCAAAAAAATAATACAAACTTAGACTACAAACCTCATTAGACGTGTTTTTGTCGAGGAAAACACGTACTTTTGTTGTTTTTGCCAAAGGTCCACCATTTAAAGTCACGTGATTTGGATTGCCTCATTGGATGCATGGTTAAGTACACCTCTACCACTAGTGAACTAGCTTGGACTGTTCTACTTTTGTCTAATAAATAGCATCGCTTATTCTATACCGTTTTTGTGGTGACATTGAAAGAAAGTTAATATATTGTATATTCTAAAAAATATTCAAAAATTATCTAAAATAAATATTTTTTTTTGCAGAACAACCGCACGTTGAGGAAAACATCCTAAAACCATCAAGAAATCATTTACATATTCATAAGTTATTAATTTCTTCAGACTTTTTATTCGAATATCACAGTGATATAAAGGTAAGTATAGATTTTTTATGTTATCCAAGGTAAAATCACGAAGTACTTCTATTATAATTTTTCAGCTGAATATAAAAAAGTGGCACGTAAAAAAAGTAAATGATGTGTATTTTTATTCTCTTAGTTAATATTAACGAGAGTGAATGTACCATTAGAGACTGGAGTAGAGATTGTTTATTTCTTGATGATGAGTTCTAAGAAGGACAAAACCGGTCCGAGAATGACAAATTCCTTAGGAAGCAAATTCCAAATTGGAATGTTGGAAAATATTTTCTGTAATTTCCTTTTTGATATAATGCAATGTAGTAAAACGAATTTTTATATATATCTATAAACATATTTAAATGAAAAATGACGGACAAAACACGAACGAAAAATTATATTTCCGATTTCTATGAATAATCACCAGAAAAACTTTTAGTCTCTATTACATAAATTAATATTTTCATGCCTGTTTCCATTTTCTTTGGTCTGCTATCTACATTGTTATTGTTGTAGTGCTCTAATTATAGAGATTGCCAATTTGCCACTATCGATAAACTTAGAAACATTCCTCATCGCCTTCTCGGAGCATTTCCCTTTTAATGCCCACCAATTATTTATGTTTTTAGGTCATCAGGTCGACTATGTACGAGCCAGTACTCGATCGATGTGTAACAACAACAATTATTAAACCCAGTAGACTTCCCACTGACGATTTTTCCATTAATGATTACGGAGAGTATGAGGAGAAAACTGTTTTGTCGCCTCAACCCGAAGAAACTCATAGGAGACAAAGCAATTTAGCTAATGGACAGGATCGTTATGAAGGTAAGTTGTTTAATTTGTTAAATTGTTGCAGCATTTTTTCTAAGCAGTCAAAACTTGTTTAACATACAGTTAGTATCTAAATTTTAAAAGTTAACACATAAATTAACGAAATTTGAGATACATAAACAAACTGGTAATTACTAATTGGTAACTGGTAAGTAACTGGTAACTGATAACTAGTAACTAGTAACTAGTAACTAGTAACTAGTAACTAGTAACTAGTAACTAGTAACTGGTAACTCCTAATTGGTAACTGATAACTGTTAGCTTGTAACTGGTAGCTGGTAACTGGTTATTGTTAGCTGGTAACTGGTAACAAGTAACTGGAATAACCAAAAATGATGAAGTTGACGTGCTAATTTTGGGTAGAATCGTATTCATAACAGACAGGGAAAAGCAAATAATGAGAAGGTGGTACGAATATTTCTATAACTTATTGAATAAAGAGCACAGCACTCATCTGATAACACATCGAGAAAAAGTTAAAAGGTTAATGAGGCTGAAGAAGAAATCATGAAAAACCTATTTGAAAAATCAGTTAAAACATTAAAAAATCACCTGGTTACGATAAAATTACATTTGAGAAACTAGGAACAAAGGAAAATTATTTTTTTGATTCATGTACGGGAAATTTTAAAAATTTTATCGTAAATTTCCAGAAAATATATAAAAAACTCTTATGATTGAACAGGTCTTTGATGTAGCCTTTCTGCAATGTGTTACTCGTCATAATGAACTAATTTAACGTTAGCAGTCAAAATGGCATTGTGACGTAATTTTTAATGAATTGGAATATAAAAATAATACAACTTTTAATTAGTAAAACTAGAATTAATAAAATGTGAAGCTACGTTGAGCGTAATAATAATAATAATAATACTCTCCCTAATTCACCCCCTTACGAGTGAATTTTAACCCCAAAAGCTGAGCTTGTCCGGGGAAAGGGACGGCTATTATTATTATTTGCCGTGGCGCTCCGGGGCGACTTAAAGATGATTGATGGTGCCATTTGACTTACAGGTGAGGAAAACCCGGAAAACCTCACCCACCATCATCGAGACGGTAATGTATGGCGAATTTTTTTAATCTGCATGTCATATCAACAGAAATTGAATTTCTATTAATACGCCACACATCAAATCCTAAACCGAACCATGCAATTTAATTAAAAATCCACATGGTCTGGTCTGGGATTCGAAACCCAGCAGTCTCAGGCTCATAAACTTGCCTATAAATGAATATAAGCGCGATAGACCGCTACACCACCGTGCCCGATGATCATGATAATATATCAGTTAAGTCAAAAAAATCAAATAGTTCTTAATCCTATTATTCAGTTGGGTCTATAATATGAAAACAAGAGATTAACTACCACCAACCCTTAATGTCTTTTAAATGTACTAGAAGGTATATGTTTTACCAAATTGAGAATAATTATTTCTAGTTCAATATTCAATATAGTCAGTACATCTTAAATTAAAACACACAAAGGATTTTCTAAAAAAAAGGCAAGATTTTATTGGTGATATAATTATACAAGTTATAAAAGTTAATTTTAAAAAACCGAATCCAAAATCTTGCAGATGCCATCACAAATTGTGTTTGGTAATTTTCTCATAGATCTTATTATTAGATCCTGGCCAAATGTATATAGAACCATCCCTTGAGATACCTACCCCCTTTCTAACAAAAAAAGAATCATAGAAGTCTGAGAAAATGGTAAAGAATTATCGTTAAATATACATAAAAAAATGAAGAGTTTGATGATTTTCTCATGGATTCCATTTTCAGATCTTGACCAAATATGTATCCGACCACATCTGAGATACCCCCTTTCATAGAAATCGGACAACGTGATAAAAAATTGTCGCAGAACATACATAAAAAATATTCCGAAAAATTGAGAACCTTCAATTTTTTTTTAAAGTTTATTAAAAATTTAAGACTGACAGTTTGTCTCGTTTCAATTTTATTAAATGTTTATCAAATATATATTAACATACTTCATTGGAATAAATATAATTATTATAAAGTTTTAGTTGATTTTTATAATTTTTTTACTTGTTCCAATATTGGATCAACTGACCTATAGGATTATGTTGACCCCTTTTTAGCAACAGATTATAGCAGGTAATTTGGCCGGTCTGAATGGTCTCCACGTTGAGTAGGTAAGTTATAATGTTTAGGAAAACTGGCCTAATTTGATTTTTGAAATAAATAATGTAAAGTTACTAAGTATAAATATACAGAGTCTAACGTGGACAAATTCTATTACTTAATAAATAAAGGTTTGTGGCAAAATTCCTGAAACACGTAATTTTTTATTTTCAATGAGGCATATTACAAAGAAGTTGTTTAGTTTTTTACTTTCCTATCTGTATACAGATATAAGGAAAGTATAGGAATCATGATTTTTTTCGACCTCGAGTTTTCGACGGATTTTTACGTTTTGAGGTCCCCTGAATCCGTTTTGACTATTTTCGCGATGATGTGTGTGTGTGTGTGTGTGTGTGTGTGTGTGTGTGTGTGTGTGTGTGTGTGTGTGTGTGTGTGTGTGTGTGTGTGTGTGTGTGTGTGTGTGTGTGTGTGTGTGTGTGTGTGTGTGTGTGTGTGTGTGTGTGTGTGTGTGTGTGTGTGTGTGTGTGTGTGTGTGTGTGTGTGTGTGTGTGTGTGTGTGTGTGTGTGTGTGTGTGTGTGTGTGTGTGTGTGTGTGTGTGTGTGTGTGTGTGTGTGTGTGTGTGTGTGTGTGTGTGTGTGTGTGTGTGTGTGTGTGTGTGTGTGTGTGTGTGTGTGTGTGTGTGTGTGTGTGTGTGTGTGTGTGTGTGTGTGTGTGTGTGTGTGTGTGTGTGTGTGTGTGTGTGTGTGTGTGTGTGTGTGTGTGTGTGTGTGTGTGTGTGTGTGTGTGTGTGTGTGTGTGTGTGTGTGTGTGTGTGTGTGTGTGTGTGTGTGTGTGTGTGTGTGTGTGTGTGTGTGTGTGTGTGTGTGTGTGTGTGTGTGTGTGTGTGTGTGTGTGTGTGTGTGTGTGTGTGTGTGTGTGTGTGTGTGTGTGTGTGTGTGTGTGTGTGTGTGTGTGTGTGTGTGTGTGTGTGTGTGTGTGTGTGTGTGTGTGTGTGTGTGTGTGTGTGTGTGTGTGTGTGTGTGTGTGTGTGTGTGTGTGTGTGTGTGTGTGTGTGTGTGTGTGTGTGTGTGTGTGTGTGTGTGTGTGTGTGTGTGTGTGTGTGTGTGTGTGTGTGTGTGTGTGTGTGTGTGTGTGTGTGTGTGTGTGTGTGTGTGTGTGTGTGTGTGTGTGTGTGTGTGTGTGTGTGTGTGTGTGTGTGTGTGTGTGTGTGTGTGTGTGTGTGTGTGTGTGTGTGTGTGTGTGTGTGTGTGTGTGTGTGTGTGTGTGTGTGTGTGTGTGTGTGTGTGTGTGTGTGTGTGTGTGTGTGTGTGTGTGTGTGTGTGTGTGTGTGTGTGTGTGTGTGTGTGTGTGTGTGTGTGTGTGTGTGTGTGTGTGTGTGTGTGTGTGTGTGTGTGTGTGTGTGTGTGTGTGTGTGTGTGTGTGTGTGTGTGTGTGTGTGTGTGTGTGTGTGTGTGTGTGTGTGTGTGTGTGTGTGTGTGTGTGTGTGTGTGTGTGTGTGTGTGTGTGTGTGTGTGTGTGTGTGTGTGTGTGTGTGTGAGTGTGTGTGTGTGTGTGAGTGTGTGTGTGTGTGTGTGTGCGTGCGTGCGTGCGTGCGTGCGTGCGTGCGTGCGTGCGTGTGTGTGTGTGTGTGTGTGTGTGTGTGTGTGTGTGTGTGTCTGTATAACGCATAACTCATGAACCGATACACGGAAAAACACCAAATTTCAAACTTAAGCTTTATTCCAGCGTCCAATGAGCTGATTAGATTTTGGGCAGAGTCGGAACATCTGGGGGAGTACTTTATAAGTGGTCATTTTTATATTTTATGGAATATATCTGTTATTTACGTTTGGGGAAGAAAATTTTTTAAATAAAAGTTACTTCTTATTTTATTATCTATAATTTTTGTTATTTACAAAATTTTCCTAAAATGGTCCGTATTCGAGAAATTTGACAAAATGTAAAAAAATATTTTTTTTTATAAAAATTGTTCAAACAAAAGTTGTTTGTAATATAATTCTCTATAATTTTTGTCCCATAGATAATTTCTCTAAAATGGACCGTATTCGAGATATTTGAGAAAATGTGTAAATTTCGAAATTTGAAGAAAACTCAAAAACGGATAAAGAAAAAATCAATAAATTTTAAACTTAAGTTTTATTTCGGCCTGACGTGAAATGATTAGATTTTGGATAAAGTCGGAACATCTGGGGGGGTACTTTATGGGAGGCCGTTTTTATATTTTATGGAATATATCTGTTATTTATGTTTGGAGAAGAAAATTGTTCAAATAAAAGTTACTTCTAATATTATTATCTATAATTTTTGTTTTTTGTAAAAATTTCCTGAAATGGTCCGTATTCGAGAAATTTGACAAAATGTGCAAAATTCTGATTTTTATGAAAATTGTTGAAATAAAAGTTGTTTGCGATATCGATCTCTATAATATTTGTTCATACATGATTTTTTTTAAATGGACCGTAATGGAAAAATTGTAGGAAAAGTGCTAAATTTAAATTTTTCAGTATTTTCATTTTCAATGAATATCTATAGAAAAATGTTTCGCGGTAGATGTATGTGGACAATGTATATATTTAGTTTATCCTCTAAACATTTATAGAGATGCTGCAATAGGTTGTACACAATAAACGGAAAAAGCCTGTAATAACTAGATAGGAAAGTCATGTGTTGGACACATCAGATTTTTAATTATCTGGGGGGTTGTACACATCCCAACTTTATTTTTAATGCAAAGGTCAGTTTTATTTAAAAACTTTTACAAACACAACGATATTTTTTTGTTACTTTTTATTAGAAAAACTAAAATTAGAGGTTAAACGACTTACCTAAGGAAGTTCAATCCTCAATTATACGAGATAGCCACGTCCAAAAAGATCACACT